TGGAGGCAGAGGCCACAGGCCTGGGCAGCAGCTCAGGGCCATCATGGCCCCTCTGCGTCCTGGCAGGGGCAGAGGCACCGAAACCCTCCTTGGGGCACAGCTGCTGACCGGCCGGGTACCTCCAGCAGTGGGTGTTCCCTGAGGGATTCCACCGGCACGCTGGGGGGAAAAAGCCCCTCAGATCTAACCTAAGCCTTACTGGTTGATCTTGGAACCAGTTTCTGCTCATTTTGTTGGGTTGGGTTTGGGTTTTTTTTTCCTTTCTAGATGTACCTCATCTTTACTGAATTTCACATGCTGATTTTCAGCTGTTTCCCAGTTGCTCAAAATCATTCTGAACATCCTAAGTGCATGAAATCGATTCCATTTTTAAACAAATTACATCTTCTTGAAGAGCTTGGAGTCTGTATTTGTGCTGACCCTGTAAAACCCACCGGACCCGCAGCAGCCTTGCTCAGAACCACGGAGGGCTTCACGCAAACGCCAGCGTTATCTGCGGAGTTCCCTTTCGGAATTCCGCCCCTGACCCCTCCGTTACGCAGCTCCGTGAGGCACTACAAAGTCCTTCCGAGCTTTGCAATTCTGTAACGATTTAACAGCCCCCTGGCTGTTGGAGCAGCGTAACTGAAATCAGTGCAACACCACTTCTATGAATTTTCAGTCATTGTACCCTGCAGTCTGGGGTTCGGGGGCGGGATGGGAGGCGAGTGTTCGCTTTAGAAAACGGGGACAGAACTGGGCCGTGGCAGCTTTTTTATGTTGCTCCAAGAAAGCAAACAGGAGCATTGGAGCCTAACTGCTGCAGATCTCCCTGGCGTGCCGACACGGCCGCACGGAGCAGACTAGAACAGAAATGGCTTGGTGTCTGCCTGGAGTTTGAAATTATTATTTTGGCTTTTCGTAGTTGTGAATTTTTTACCAGCTCTTCTCTCACCCTTAACTTGGTTTTAGGACAAATCCACAACGACCAAAACTCGCTTTTCAAAGCAATTAACACAAATCACGGGAATTACCTGTAATCTTTCCAGCTGATTTGCAGCCAGATGTTGATTTTTTTAATAAAATTTTTTTTAGCGCTGAATTGATTTTGCTGAGAATGTGTGAAGATGATGAGAGCTTCCTAGAGAGGACAACTGCATGATTCCGGAGCCTGCAAGAACAAGTAACCGGGCAGGGGACGTTGTGTATTACGCAATTATATGTATATCAATTAATTATGCAATTAGATGTATATCAACGGTGCTTCGGGGGCGCCGCGTACCCGCCGGTGCCCGGTACCGCGCCAGCACGGCCGGCAGCCCGCACGCTGGTGCCTGG